TTAAGGGGAGAGAAAAAAATGGAAGTAAATATTTAGCACAGGCCATATCTAAAAGTTCAACATGAATAAAAAATAAAATGTAGACATTCATATCATATACTATACAAAAATATAACAATACCTTTTCTATACAGTGCTGTCCAATAGAACTTTCCATAATAACAAAAATGTTCCATATATGTACGTCAAATACTTAGCAGCCATTAGCAATTGAGTGTCCATTGTGAATGAAGACTACATTTTAAATTTTATTTAACCTCAATTTAAATTTAAATAGCCACTTGTGCCTGGTGTCTACCAAATTGTACAGCATGAAACTATAATTTTAAAAAGAAAATTTTAGCAATTATTAAGGAATCCACAAAATATCAAATGATATGATTAAAAAAATGGAGGAGACAAAGTTTGCTTAAATAGATTATGTTTGAAGCTTGACCCACAAATAAACCATAAAAAAAGGAAGCTTAAAATGAGAAAGTTGCATCTTTAAAAATCTAACCATATTGTGAAGCTTCAAGTAGGAAACAGAGTAATGAAATGATGAATGAGCTACCTAAAATGCTAACTGTAATAGTTAGAAACAAAAAGACCAAAAATTGAAGATGATTATTAGCATATCCAATATGCAATCAGATAAACTTTTAAAATATAGTCAATGTTACAATGATAAAAGTTGAAGTTTAATAGCTTAATTCAAGAGAGAAGGAAAGCACATTTGAAGAAAAGATGAGACTATTTGGCAATAGCTTATAAATATGTTAATCTGCAAATGATGTTATAGATGCTATACATATATTTTTAGAATAGACCTTGATAGACCAAATAACATACTTCTTTGGCATCTAATATGGAAATGATATTTTATCATGAACTCATTATTTCCCATCATTTTAAATAATACTAAATATCATTTAATGTTAGAGCTTTTGAAACATGGCAAAATTTGTTCAGAACAGACAATTCAAGTTCTAAACTAGAAATGCCATAAATTGGAATTTCCTTGATTTACCTTTCGATTATCAGTTTTTTCAGTATGATAAAAATGGGAACAGTAACAACCTCACTATGTTGAGCTAAGGAACAATTAATTGAAATGAATGCAAAACCCTTTGAGGCAAAAAAGGGTTAGTGGCATAAAAGAATATTAAAATTAGTTGAAGGGGGAGATAATATTTAATACAGTGACATATGCATATCAAATAAATTCAATAATGATACAAAAAACACAGTTCATGAAATCAAATTATCTTGTTTAAACTCAGACTAGAAGGTTGATAATAGTATTTTTTAAAGTGTGGTTATGTCTCTGAAGACTTAAAAGATGTTAGACATTATTACTAAAATTGAACAACAATGATGATCGGTGATAAGATTCGCAATAATAACTTATTCAGCATGAACTTGGCAATGGGCAGTAAGACAAAAACAAGACAAGGTTCATGCCCTCGAGGGGTTTACCATTAGGTTTGAAAGATGACGCCTGGGCTAAACCAGAGCTTTTGTACACACTTCTATTACGGCACCAGTTATCCTGTATTGTAACTTTTTTCTTTTTCTGCTTTCTCTATCAGATTTTGAGCTTCTTAAGGATCCATGTCATATTTACCTTGGCATCTCTAGTGCCTGGTACACTGAGGAGATTAAATGTATTGAATACATTGACAGATGGACCTAAACAAATATAGGACCAAACAAAATTAAATAATATCATTAAAAAGTTATTATGAAAATTCTATAGAACATAGGATAGGCACAAATTATTTCCAATTTTAAAGACTGGAAAATGCTTCATGAACCCATGCCTTGAAGGAGGAATTGTCAGATACCCACAACTGGAAGCAGTGGAGGGAAATAGCATTCCAAAGCATGGGAAACGGAAAGCACAAAATCTGTTCATGGAATAATGCCAGAAGCACTGGTTAACAGGGAACTGGGTATTAGGGAAGATAGGTAAGTCCATTCTTCTGCAGGCCAACAGGGAGTCATAAAAGGGTCTGAATTAGGCAAGTGGCATGATTACAAATGTGCTTTGAGAAGAGTGATTGGGCTGTAGCACATGGAATGAACTAGAAGTAAAAATATACTAGATGCAAAGAGAATAATTAAACAAGTAAGAGACTGTAGGTAAGAGGTAAAAAGAACCTGAAATACAGTAGTAAAAATGGAATAAAATGGAAGGATGTGAGAAAACTACATGTAATGACCCCCTAATTTGTACTTAAAAATATAAAATGTGTATCCCCAGCATATCTATTTTTGTCTTTATTATTCCTCTTTAGTCTAAGTTACTAATATTACATAACTTGGAATACTGCAATAGACTTCCTGTGACTTTTCCAGCTTCCACTCTTACATCCACCTTTACCCCATTGCATGGCAGCCAGAATTATCTTTTAGATAACACACCCCTGCTCAATATCCTCCAATAACTTCCCACTGCAATTTGAATAAAATCCAAACTTCTTATTATGTCTACAAGATTGTTTGGCCTTTGCCCTCTTCTCAGATTTCCCCCTCTTCAAAATCACCTGGATCTAGCCATACCTGCGTTATTTTTGTTCCTCTAAACACTGAGCTCATTTTCTTGAGGAACTTTGCGCTAGCTGTTTCCTCTGCCTCAAGTGTTCTTCCCCTAGATCTCCACACGGCTGGCCTTTAAACTGTTTTCACATCTCAACCCAAATGTCATCTTCTCAGAGATGCCTTCTCTGATTAATATTTCTATAGTAGCCACCCCACTGGCTATTCTCCCTCTAACTATCATATTACCCTGCTTTATTTCTTTAGAGCATTTAATCACCTTACATAATTATCCTCTTTACATTAATATATACATGTTGTTTTCTCACTCCCCCTCCACCACACTAAAATATACATCCTGTGATAGCAGGACCCTATCTGTGTTACTCATCACTCTGTTCTCCCCAATGCAAAGGGCAAACCTGAAGCACAGTAGATATTCAATAAATATATATTTAAAAAAACAAAATTCTTATCACAGAGGCTAGTGAGCAAGTAACACTGTATAACCGTCTCTGAGCTGTACTTTTCTTCTCCTATTGTATTATGAATTTCCTTACAGACTGGATTGAAAAACATGGATTTTAGATCATGTGGTGCCTTATAAAGATGCGAAGTAGTAAAATTAGACAAGCTATTCAGCTTTTGTGATTAAATGTTTTGGTGGCCTTAAAATAAAACTGACCACCTTACCTTACAAGCTAAGTTCCTTGCCACAGAATTTATATCGAGATGGCAAGAAGACTTATTCTAAATGTTGAGAGAGTTATGGGAGAGCCTTCCATGGAAGAAGATATAGAACCTCACCTACCGATGTTATGAACTATAGGGCCTCCTAGCTACCTTCTTTGAATCTTTGGTTTGCCATCTTAATAAAATATACCAGTGGAGGTAAACTTTAAAAGACTCTGTACCAGGGCTATGGTCCCACCATTTCCATTTGGTAACTGTAGAGAGATTGATTAAAATCCTGCTTATTGAGCAGAGCAACCTGAAGTTGTCAAGTGTTCTAAGATACACTTTTTAAAAGTTTTTACTGTTTGGTTAGCAATATATACTGCACATGTTTTTAATGAGGCCTGTTGTACTGCCACCGATTACCTAAATCCTCAAATGATTAATGAGGAAATTTCTTCTTTTGTTTTTTCAAATATTTATTGAGAGCCTCATATGTGCCAGTACAATCGTGCTCTACTTTCTGAAACTATATACTAGAGAGATTGAGCATTATCACCCAACAGCTCTGAGAGTAGCTTCCCCATAAAAATGGGTTACTCCTCAGTTAATTGGGTAACTCAAGCTAATCAAAATGATCCCATACCTCCCGCCCCTCTTCTCACCATCACTGGTAGTTATCTGTGGTTTTGTTGTTCTCTGAACCCATGATTCCTCTGAATTATTTTTGCTTTAAAATAGAAAATTTCTTTTGTTAAATATATAGTGTAATCTTAATTGCAGTACATGTCAACTGATTATTCAGTGTTTGGGACATGGAAAGAGACAAGTATCAGAGAGCCAGATGCCTTGACATTGTAAGAGATTTAGTAGTGACTGGATTAGGAGTAGAGCACACAGAAAAAGCTACAGAAGGACTTAGCAGAAGCCACGTCAGATACCCAAGTCTCTGCACATACCTGGGTGATCCCAGATCCCAATGATTCAACTAAATTTACTAACATTTATGTGATAGTTTGCAGTTTAAAGTGTGGGCTATCTAATTTACTACTATTACTGTATTTGCGTGAATCTACAAAAATCTTGTGAGGTTGTTACTATTATCCCTATTTTACAAAACAGGAAACTGAGGGGGGAGGGGAAGATGTTGAAAGTAATTTCCCCACAATTACAGCATATGTTAGCTAGGACTCACCCTAGGATCTTCTGACACAAATTCCATGTACTTCCCACTATATGACTCAGAAAGATAAGGTCCAATATATCAAAGTTATGGACATTAACTACACGCTAAACAAGAAACTACTCTTCATATGGTAAATACTGAGTAGATTGAGAGAAAAGATTGTTTGCAAATTTGAGTAGCTTCAAAAGGAAGAAAAATAAGGAGGATAAGAATAATGGTTGTTATTTAAAGAGTAATTCAGTTAGAACAATATTTAAATGCATAAAGCAAGAGATAAATTTTTCTAGCAAATCAATTTAATGACTACATAAGATAACCTTAATCAGATGCACAAGACTTCAAATAATTGTTGGAAATTGATAAAGCTAATTAAATATTATTTTAAGATCATCAATATCATAAATATAATTTACTTTCAAAAAGGGAAAATAGAAATCTGTATTGTAAGAATAGAAAATAATCCTTATTGTCACAATTTGGTTAAAAGAAGTTTGTTACTAACACAAGTAGAATACTGCATTCAATTAAGCACTTGTACAGATTTCGTGATTTGCTACAATTACATGTAGGTAACATCAATTTGAATTACTGAACAGAACATGCAAATAGTTCTACATACGTTCTTTTAACATCTTGTTCAATCATTGATCGAAGTTCTTTATCTTGGAAGAATTTGTTCCAAAGACTCTGAAATAAGGAAAACCACCTATTTAAAATAATCTCACACCTTTGCTTGACTTTTATAATTTAAATTTAATAATTTAAATGATTAAATTTATCCTTCCCTGAGTTATTTCACAGTGCAGATAGAAAACCAGAGATTGGGATAATTTTTATTAAAATCTAGTTTAATCTCTGAAACATCCTTACTGCAACACCAATTTTTCCAGTTTGATATTATTTAATACAGTCAGCACTCCCTATCTGCAGGTTCTGAATTTAAGGATTCAACCAACTGCAGATCAAAAATATTAGGAAAAAATTAAAAATGATACAACAATGGAAAATAATACCTATTTTTAAAAATACAGCATAACAACTTTACATAGCATTTACACTGTATTAGTTATTATAAGCAATATAGAGATGATTTAAAGTATATAAGAGGATGTATACAGGTTATATGGAAATACTACACCACTTTATATACGGGACATGAACACCTACAAATTTTGGTATCCATAGTATCCACAGGGGTCCTGGAACCAATCCCCCAAGGATTGAGAAATGACTGTATATTTTTAAAACTTCTATTATCCATATAAACTGAATGATAATTTTCACTGCTATACATTGCTGCTATTTCTATATACCAATAAAAAGGTACTTGGATTAGAGCAGGACCAATGGGTCAACTGGCTCCAGCTTGAACCTGACTTGAGTTCCCAGTGTACTAAGAAAGACACGTAATGTTTTCTACAAAGCTTGGCTTTTTAATCCAATAGGTTTTAACATATATTTTAAAATGTAAATTTAGGAAAAGTTTTAAAAATTGCTTAATATTTTATGCTCCTATATGAAAGACTATATTGTAGTTATTATTATTATAATTATAGTTATTATATGTATCAGGAAAAAGAAATGCTAATGTTATGTATTAAATAGAAAAAAATTCTGTTCTCAGGCAAACAGACAAAAATTAGTGCAGCAACAATTGAAGTTATATAATATCCTTAAAGTACTAATTATTCCTAGTCTTTACTAGAATATGAGTAGGGGTATGCTTGATCATTTTTAAAAACTTCTTCATAGACTTACTTACTACAAACAGTTACTTCTTTCTTCCTGGAAGTTAGTTCTGCCAAGTGAACCCTACTCTATTTTTATCATGAAAGGGGGCTTTCCTGAGCCACCTCATTCCTCACTGCAACCCTGATAAGATAGCTCTGTTCTCATCTTTACACTCTTTTATTTTACTCTTAGTTCTTACAGACCCCTGAGACTTCTCTGTATTGTCATTCCACAGAAATATATAATTATTTTCTGACAATGTACTATGCATATGGCATAGAATAATTTACATCAGGTTTTAGGTAGTACTATTTCTGGAATAAAGAAAATAGTTGGCATGAGATACATGGCTTTCATGGTGAATGATAACCAGTCACATAAGTATATTCTTATGGGCAAAAGAGGTTGAGATATGAGTAAAGATGAACTTTACCCCTTCATCCTGTGAAAGGGGATTATTGATCATCAAATCTTGCTGGCCAACAACCTTCCTTGGGTTTGTAATATGCTGGCAAAGAAAAAGAAAACACATACACACAAGAATTAAGAGGCTGCTGGACTTTTAAAGTATACATAAGAAAACAATCACATTAACTACATTTACTATTTACTCACTATTTCTTTAATGTTGCTATACCATGCTCTTAATTCTTTAATTCTACTTATCCATTGACTTTTATCTTGAGGAAGAACACAAAGAAATAGCTGTGAAGAAAAAAAAGAGGAAACTTTTGTAACAATCATAAGATATAAAATGTGAAACCATGCCAAACAAAATCACCTAAAAATTGAAAGAGATATCATATTCAAGATATTTCATATTCATATCATCATTCCAATGCCCAATAACTTATATTTGGGGATATTTAAGAATTATATAATTAGAAAATTCAAAAAGTGAATAATCAAAAAATGAGATCATAAAAGCTAGACCACAAAATGGAATCAAGCTCCCCTCTAGATTTATATTAAAAAGGAAGAAAAATTCATTGAGGTTCAAGTATGATTCACATTTTACATTCCAATCTTAATGGGAGTGGTAGGGGGTTATTAAGAAGCATGAGATCTAGTTAGTAATTACTAGCTTAAGGTTTTGTCTTAAAACACATAAGTAAAAGATAGCAAAGAACAGTCTTACTACCAAGGACACAGCCTGAGACACAAAGGCATTCCTTTTACAGAGAAAAATGTAACTTACAATGGGCAATCAGCTTATGAAAATAACAAGCACTCTTAAAAAGACAAATTTGATTTAATTTAGTTTAATACAACATTAAAGTAAATCTGGATTTAGGTTATTTTCAGAAAAAGAAGGATGCTAAAAGTTAAACAACAGTGAATGGGGCTGGGACACAAATATTTGTAAACAAATATTCTAGCAGCAGGTCTCCTGCCTTTATTGCTTGCACCTAAAAGAAGAAAAATGTATTTGAATTATTAAACATAAATTATTAAGTCTAAAAATGTCTAATGCATGTGTTTCCTACTACCTTTACTTGCACAGACTCAGTATGCTCAATTTATGCAGATAACCCTAAAAACTTTTGATAGAAGTCATTTTAGAAATAAGTCTAAACATAAATTAATTCATTTTTGGAGAATAAAAAGAAATAATATTTCAAAACAGTAAAAAGATAACTACAGATTATTGTTACTAGTTTTGGTAATCAGTGGCCCTTTCCCTCTGAAGCAGAATGACCCAATTTCCTTCCACCACTTCTTGCTAACTCTTCACTTTGTGTTTCTAGTAAAAGAAATGTGAAAAATCTTTTATATTTGTTAGTTACGAAAAAAATAGGAAGGAAGGCTAACTGATGGCACTTGATGTAATAGGAACCTGGAAGTTAGCATCCCCCTTCTCCTGCACAGCTTCGAGAATTCTGCAAAAGCTTCCGGGAGAACATTAAAGTGTTGCTTTGAATTTTGCACCAACAAAACAGATGAAGACAGTTACTTCATATGACTCCTTTACCATCACCAATTATTCAGGACTAAGGCGGTTCAATCTTATTAGTAAATGTCCTATGAAAGATAAACATAGATGGCCAAAATAATGGGAGTGAAGTCTTTTGGAAAATTCAGTGATCCCCTGCATGGTAATCTTCCAGGGCATCAGGTAATGTGTTGATATATTGCAACCACAAACTGTAAATAAATATTTTCTTCTTACCTTCCAGCAAATGCTACGGAACCTGCTGCTTCTCAGCTGCCCATTAATCCCCTTCTGCCTTATTGTTGCCAAGTAATTGTTGTTTACAAATAGTTCTTCCCATTCTTTCCTATATGAAAGAAACCAAAGCATGGGAATCCTTTTGTTAAAATTCTTCCGCTTGGAGAGGAATGCTACAGGAAATTAATTTTAAATAAGTCTAAGAAATGCAACTTTTAAAACATATATATTTAGTTGTGTACTGTTTCTAAACGCATGGCTGTCTTTTTGGATACAGTTCTTCTGTAGATTTAATGAATATGTAGATAGCTATAATTACGCCAGCTACTGAAATTCATGTCTGTGGAGGCTATTACGTTTCCTCTAAAATGTTGATAGTGCAGTTCAGTGTATAAACAAAAAAACAATGAATAGTAATATAAATAAATGACTGTTTTAGCCATTGACAAAGATATATGTGCTTCAAAAATATACAACAAAAAAGTGTAATGATTATATTGGCTTCTCATGCGAAATATCTGTTTAAATGAACTTATTCTCTTTAACGTCAGGCTAGGCAGTTAAATATAATATTATATTAGATTACTTTCTTTAACTATTAGTGCTACTTAATATTGAAATCTCTGCAACTTCTTTCTAAATGATCAGTTTTAAAATTTTAACAGGTGTGGGCAAATTTGAAAAAAATCAAAAAATTAAAAAGCCTCACTGTAAAAACTGTTAAAGGCAAGCTTGAGTACCTTGCAGTACCTATGGCTGAGTAGATAAACAACCGAAATATGCCTCCCAGGCATGCAGACACCAGGGGCCTAACACCTGTGCCTCATTAATATACAAGTAAATCTGCTCTACTGGGAAACAATTGGAAATTAATTGTCCCAAACCATTTACTGAGTTTGAATAAAGGAATTAGACCTATATTCCCTGCATCTTGCACCAAACTAAACATTAAGAATTAGAGTTGAAGCTACTGAGATCAGCTTTATGAAATTTGTCTCAATTTCCATGCCACAATAAAACAAACTTATAATTTAACAATTTATCATCAAAGCTGAAACCGTAGCACCAATCTGTGCTAGAGAGATTTCCTACATAAAGCCTCTAAAATCCTCAATAATTCTTGTATATACAAGCAGTTGTCACTAGCGAGGCCCCACTCATTTTGAGAAAGGACAACCTTGCATACTACACTTAGAGTCATGAACAAACCGACTGCACACATAAAGTTCAAAAACTGACCATGGAGCAAGACGTATCTTCTCCACACAGTTCCAGAAGAGTGACCAAAAACAATGGAACATTCCCTACTGCCATCAGCAGAACGTCCAGCCTTAACCAGGTAGCACTGATCCCCAATCACACCAAGCTTTCTGCCAAGAGGGACTTCTAGCTAAGTTTGCCAAATGGGACATACATTCCGACCCCATGCTAGAAACAATGGATATCCATCACCACTCCACGAAAATTTCTTATTCTCATCACTCTATTAGGAAACAAAACATACAAAAAATTGTTTTTATTTTAATTTTCATTTGTATTATTAGTGAAACTGAAAAATTTCCATGCTTTTAGGTTATTCAAAACTTCCCTTCTTATTCTTTCTCCATTTGTAGCAGTACAGGATAGTGGTTACGAGCATGGATATCAGAGCCACACTCCTGGTATCAAAAAGACAGCCATGCAGTCAGAAAAAATGCACAGCTTACTAGCTACTTACTAGAAATGCAAGCATGAACAAGTTTCTTAACCTCCCTATGCCTTAGTTTCCTCATCTTTAAATGAATAATAATAGCATCTACCTTAAAGAATTACTGTGAGAATTAAAAGAATATAGAAAAGCCCTCAGAAGGATATCCAGATATAATATTTTTAAAAATATTATTGCTAGTAATTATAATACTGCTTTTATGTTAGTGTGACTTATTATTGACCCAAGAGAAAAGTTTTTCATACATTAAAATCATCCTACCTTTGTCAGCCAATTCTTTAACCCAATTGTTTTGATTTTCAACAAATTGAAGCTTTTTGTCTATAATTAAGATCTAACAGGCTGGGTGCGGTGGCTCACGCCTGTAATCCTAGCACTCTGGGAGGCTGAGGCAGGAGGATCACTTGAGTTCAGGAGTTCAAGACCAGCCTGAACAAGAGCGAGAACCCATCTCTACTAAAAATAGAAAAAAAATTATCCATGGTGGCGCATGCCTGTAGTCCCAGCTACTTGGTAGGCTGAGGCAGGAGGATGGACTGAGCCCAGGAGTTTAAGGTTGCTGTGAGCTAAGCTGATGCCATGGCACTCTAACCTGGGCAACAGAGTCAGACTCTGTCTCACAAAAAAAAAAAAAAAAGAAAGATCTAACATTATTTTCCTCTTCTTGTTTTGTCCATTGGTTCCATTGTGTAAATAATTCTTAGCCACTCCAAGATCAAAGAAATATTCACTGAATCGTGTGGCTTTTGTTAACCACTTTAATCTATTTGGATTACTTATAATTTTCTAAATATTTTCTACTTTTAAACAATTGCACTTATATACTCATGTCTCATATGGTTCAAATTTTGTTTTTATGTAGTTTTCAGCAATACTCAAAGATTGAGATCAGCAATGAATACATAAATACATTAGAAGAACACAGGAATACCTCATTTTATGTCACTTTACTGTACTACACTTTGCAGACGTTTCATTTTTTTACAAATTGAAGGTCTGTGACAACCCTGCATCAAGCAAGTCTATCGGCATGTGCTCAGTGTCTCTGTGACATTTGGTAATTCCCACAGTATTTCAAGCTTTTTCATTATATCTGTTATGGTAACCTGTGATCTTTGATGTTACTACTGTAATTGTTTTAGAGTGTTAAGAATCACACCCATAAGAGAGCAAACTTAATTGATAAATGTTATATGTTTTCTGACTGTTCCACTGACCAGGTATTCCCTGTCTCCCTCTCCTTGGGCATCCCTATTCCCTGACACATAGCAATATTGAAATTAGGCTAATTATAACCTTATGAGGGCCTCTAAGTGTTCAAGTGAAAGGAAGAGTCTTACATCTCTCAATTTAAATCAAAAGCTAGAAATTTTTAAGTTTAGTAAGGAAGGTATGTTGAAAACCAAGTTAGGACAAAAGCTAGGTCTATAGTGCCGACAGCCAAGTGGTGAATGCAAAACAAACGAACCAAAAAAAGTTCTCAGAGGAAATCAAAACTGCTACTTCAGTAAATACATGAATGATAAGAAAGCAAAACAGCTTTCTTCCTGACAGGGAGAAATTTTGAGAGCTCTGGAGAGACGATCTAACTAGTCACAACATTCCCTTAAGCCAAAGCCTAACCCACAGCAAGGACCTAACTCTCTTGAATTCTGTGAAGACTAAGAGAGATAAAGAAGTTGCAAAAGAAAAATTTGAATCTAGCAGAGGTTGGTTCCTGAGATTTAACGAAAAAGCTGCCTCCAGAACATCAAAGTGCAAGGTGAAGCAGCAAGTGCTGATGGAGAAGCTGCAGGAAGTTATCCAGAAGATCTAGCTAAAATCACTGATGAAGGTGGCTACACTAAACAGATTTTCAATACAGACAAAACAGTTTTCTACTGGAAGATGAAAGATGTTTCTACAACTTTCACAGCTAGAGAGGAGAATTCAATGTCTGGCTTCAAAGGTAAGGCTGACTCTATTGTTAGATGGTGACTTTAAGTTGAAGCCAGTGCTCATTTCCCATTCTGAAAATCTTATGGTCCTTCAGAATTATGCTAAATTGACTCTGCCTATGCTCTATAAATGGACCAAAAAGTTGGGATAACAGTACATTTGTTTATAGCAGGGTTTACTGAATATTTTAAGCCCACTGTTGAGACCTACTGATCAGAAAAAAAGATTCCTTTCAAAATATCACTGTTCATTGACAATGTAAGTGGTTACCCAAGAGCTCTGATGAAGATGGACAAGGAGAATAACGCTGTTTTCATGCCTGCTAACACAACATCCATTCTGTAGCCATGGATCAAGGAGTAGTAATATTGACTTTCAAGTCTTATTACTGAAGACATACATTTTGTGAGGCTATCACTGCCATAGATACTGATAACTTTGATGTATCTGAGCAAAGTAAATTGAAAACCTGGGAAAAATTCATCATTCTGGGTGTCTTTAAGAATATTTGCGATTCATGGGAGGAGGTCAGAATGTCAACATGAACCAGAGTTTGGAAGAAGTTGATTCCAGTCCTCATGGATGACTTTGAGGGGTTCAAGATTTCAGTGGAGGAAGTCACTGCAGATGGGGTGGAAATAGCAAGACAACTAGAATTAGAAGTGAAGCCCGAAGATGGGACTGAACTGCTGCAATCTTGTGATGAAACTATAATGGATGAGGAGTTGCTTTCTGTGGGTGAGCAAACAAAATGGGTTCTTGAAATGAAATCTACTCCAGGTGAAGATGCTGTGAACACTGTTGAAATGATAACAAAGGATTTAGAATATTACATAAATTAGTTGATTAAAGCAGTAGAAGGTCTGAGAGGACTGACTTCAATTTTGAAAGAAGTTCTACTGCAGGTAAAATGCTATCAAACAGCACCATGGGTACAGAGAAATCTTTTGTGAAAGGAACAGTCCATCAATGTGGCACACTTCACTGCTGTTGCATTTTCAGAAATTGTCACAGTGACCCCAAACTTCAGCAACCACCATGCTGATCAGCCAGCAGTCATCCACACCAAAGAAAGATCCTCCGCCAGCAAAAAGATTACAACTCATTGAAGGCTTGGAAGATCATCAGCATTTTTTAGCAATAAAGTATTCTTAAATTTAAATTAAGGTATGTGCTTTTTAAAGACATTTGCTATTGCACACTTTATAGACTACAGTATAAACATAGTTTTTACATGTACTAGGAAACCAAAATAATAATAATAATAATAATTTGATTCACTTTACTGCAGTGGTATGGACTTGAACCCGCAATATCTCTGAGGTTTGCCTATACATCTCAGAAACCATAAGTATGTTTAAATAGCTTGTGATCTGTGAACAAAAAGCATAGATTTCAAATGTATGGTATTTTGAAACCAAAAGGAATCATAATCTGTGAGACACCATGAAGTTCCATGACCT